TTCAGGTGAAATAGGATATAATATTGAAAATATTAAATAGGAACTCAACATAAATTCAGCAATCGCTTATACTCCAAGCGCAATACCGTCTTTTAGATCGTTCATCATTTCAAGTGGCATCAATAAGAAGCATAGTGCGAAAATTCTTATTGCGGTAACATCAATACTCGTATTCAAATTCAAGCAATATCGTTTCTCTCAAACAGTTCATCCAAATCAGATCCGACGCGTTAGAAAGAAACCAAAATTCCAATCACCGGAGCCGGAATCGAAACCATCGGAATCAGAATCGAAACCGCCGAGATCGAAATGATTAGAATCGGAGTCGGAACCATCCAAATCGGGGCGGGAGTAATCGAAATTGAAATTGATTCCGCAGGCGAATGTCACACGGTCAATATTTACTATCAGCATGGACTGATCATTCAGTCAACAGTATCAGTGGACTTCTAAGTAGTTTAAGCAATTGCTTTCAGAATAATCAGTTGTACTTAATCTTGAATAAGACGATCAAAAACGGAATATCGAAATGACAAGGATAACGGTAAATTTCTAGGACTACACTTTGAAAATCATCTAAACTTTAAGGTGCACTGTCAATATCTAGTATCATAGTTGGATGTCCTTTTATACATGTCTATCAAATCAAGCATCTTGGAGAGTCAGTTAATATCACTACCTATATTATGATCTGGTAGAATCCAGAATTAGGTAGGGAATCTGTCTTTGAAGTCCCTCATATCCGCAGTTCAAACAACATTTTGAGCGCAGGAACAAATCGTTCTATCAATAGCTCAAGTTGCTTTAACCCACAGTTGCGGAGAGCTATTTAAAAGATACAAAATATTGACTGTACCTGCTCTAATAATATATGAACTCTCCATGTACATATATATATATATATATATATATACAGGGTGGATCATCGAAAACGAAACAGACGCATTTACTGGCAGCTCAGTTTTTTTTTTGGAAAAACGCTCAGACCCGTCGATTTTGTTTTTGAGGGGGACACAAGTTTGGCAAAAAATCACGTTAGCACGTGCAGCCCCCCAAGCGGGGGTGACACCACTCCCAAAATCTTACATACAAAGGGGGGTCGAGTGATACCTTATTTTAAAGGTCTTCCAATTCCCTTTATAATGATATAAAATTAATACACTTCAGTTAAGTAGTTTTGAAGATTTATTGATTTAAAGCTTAAATAAAACTAATACATCATAATTAGTGGAGATCAATACATTTATCAGGAAACTAATTTAAAAATGAAGAATGAACTGACCCGTTAGGCAAGTAAATGTTGAAAATGGCCACCATGACTCTCCATGCAATAATAAAGATTTTGTTCAAAACGTTGCCGCATATTTTGCAATATTTGAGGAGTAATTTGAAGGCACTCATTCACAATTCTTTATCGCAGGCCTTCTAATGATGTTGGCTGAGTAGCATAGATTTTGCTTTTTAAATGACCCCACATAAAGAAATCCAAAGGTTGTAAATCTGGCGATCTTGGGGGCTATTCAATGGCACCTCTTCTACCAATCCATCGATCTGGAAACGTCTGACCTAAATATTGTCGAACACGTAATGCGTAACGTGGTGGGGCACCATCCTATTGGAACATCAACCTATTCGCTATGTACCACCGATCATTCTGATTTTCAGTTATGGCTGTTAATGCAGGATCTATGGCGTCTTCCAGTAATTCCAAATACATTGCACCGGTCAAATTTCGAGGTAAGAAAAAAGGACCAACTAAATGATCGCCAAAAATACCAGCCCAAACATTTAATTTTTGTGGCTGCTGTGTATGAACCTCATGATAAATTCTGAGATTAGAATCGGACCAATATCGGCAGTTATGGCGGTTTACTACGCCATTTAAGAAAAAGGAACATTCGTCGGAAAAGCAAGTGTTGAATAGAAAATGTTCATCGTTTATAATTCGTTCACTCATATCTTCACAAAATTGTAATCGCCGATCAAAATCGTCTTCATTAAGTTCTTGTACCAGGTGAATTTTATACGGATGAAAACTATGGGCCTTTAGAATCCGTTGGACAGTACGTCGACTAACACCACACACAGTCTCCAAGTTGCGGGTACTTAACGTAGGATCTACATCTTCGTTCGTTATGGGATTTTCAATGTTGCGTTTCTTATTGGCGACTGACCCAGTTTCCCGAAATTTAGCTACAAGTTCTAGAACATATTTTCGATGCACGTTACTGTTCTCATGTCGCTCATTAAATATTTCTGCTGTTCTATTAGCGCACTGACTATTTCCGAAAAATATTTCGATAATTTCAACTCTTTCTGCTGTGGAATATACCATGGTTAATTTATGTAATAAAGCGTTACAAGTTATTCTAGCAACAAAGTTTGGTCAAATCAACCGCAAACTATGCACTAAATTCCTATTTAAAATAAGTACGCGATATTTCCTTATCTTTCTTCAAGAAATAACTTTTTTGCCACAAAAAAAACGCTGCAATAGCTATTTTCAACAACAAAATGATAAATAAACCATGGGCGTAGTGAAGAAGAGCATTTACTTATGTAAATTCTTTTAGTCAAATTTCTTCTGAAAGTAGTACAAGGTATCACTCGACCCCCCTTTCCATTTAAGATTTTAGTGTTGGTGTCACCCCCGCCCAGGGGGCTGCACGTGTTAGCGTGATTTCTTGCCAAACTTGTCTCCCCCTCGAAAACAAAATCGACGGGTCTGAGCGTTTCTCCAAAAAAAAAAAAACTGAGTTGCCAGTAAATGCGTCTGTTTCGTTTTCGATGCGCCACCCTGTATATATATATATAACAATTAATTGCTTAATTGGGAAATTGGCACACTTTTTTAGGCTTTCGACGATAGTATGAAGCTTTCGGCAATTCTCTATGGAGCCTTCATCAGGATCTGAAAACACAATTATGATGCTGGCAACCAATACAGGAATGACTTAAATTGTCAAACAACTTCCTCGTCGTTGAGGTTGCAGCCACATGGTGTTTCAAAACGAACGCGGAGATGAGAGCACTTGTTGCAAATATAAAACCAATCGGACGGACACATTGAGCTTATTGATAACGACGGATAATATCATTATGTGTTAACACTATAAGTCGATACACCCAAACATATTAAATATTTTTTTTTAAATTAACGAGTAGCAATTTTGGGGACAAAATTAATTGTGATTTTTTTGCCCAACTGGTCGTTGGTAATGGCAATGACTACTGCTCATATATGTATAAATACCACGTCTCAAGCTATATAGGTTTATATATACAAATATATATATATATAAGAATAAAAGCAAATTTACCCTGAATAGGGAAACACACTCCACAAATAGAAGGCAGTGGGATAATTGGCATCCAGCTGACGCAGAATATTTCACAGGGAACGTTCATCAATATATTGGATCCTAAAGTATTCAATATGTTACCGGAGTCTGCGTCGCTTCAAGTATCAGTTAAAAGAGCTTCTAGTCAACCAGTGATGGATCTTTTAATACTGAAAGTGTGACATTCGTCTTAGGACCACCGAAATCGATCCCTTCGATTCCGTTTGCGGTATCATTCCTTAGAAATGACCTAGTTCTAGCTATTCGTTTAAAATATGGTGGATGTGATAGACAATATCCAGTAACTTCATTCTTCTACCGGCACATGCGAGCGGTAAATTTGTGGACAGGATAAAAATGCTGCTTTAACATTGAGAAAAATGGAACAGGACGCCCTATTGACGAGACTAGTTCCATTTCATGTGATGCTATATAATCTTAGGATTCTTTAAAGTCATATCATCAGTAATTTTAAGCTCAAGTCGTCATATTATATACGTATATGTAGATAGGCCAAGTCATCGCTTTTAGCGATCCAATTCCATGGTTCCAAAATTCTCAGTCCTCTTAGCAGTAGCTTCAAGTTTAAGTCATCGTATTAGAACGGACCCGAGTCGTTTCTTTAGCTGGTTATAATTCCAGTCTCGAAACGGGTTCGTTTGCAGTTCCTGTTAATTCCGAATCTGGTGCCTCTACTTCTGAACCCGAACTCAACGGTTTCGATACTAGCACCAAAGCTTCCGCATTGCTTCTTAAGGGCCTGTCCGAAAGGTACGCATTTGTTATGATTCGGATATTGCTTTTGATTTTAAGGAATATACCATGGGTACATTCTGGGTATTAACCGAAGTACTACGTTGATTAAGACCTCTTTATGACACTTTTGGACGATTACGGATCCCCCATTGGAAATTTTGTATAAGTTAACTTTCATGCCCAATGGCGGAGGAGAAGTTCACTATTTCCCTGGCCACTGACAGCGGTAGAAACGGTTTTGCTGCTCGAAAAGCTTTATAAGTATGCTTCCTTCTATATATTAAAGCTTTTTACCCGCTGTTTAAGATTGTGAGATTCCATTTTTTACTCTCATGCTTTCATTTTCTGCGATAAATAACATTAAAATTGCAACTTAACATGAGGCCCTCGATACTTCAAAGACCACAAAACAATTATCACCTTGTTTGTCATTACTCCCTTGGAATCGCTAGTATTAAGAGCATTTGATCAAAGATTCGTGTGGCGGTAGTGGCGGCATTCATATCCGAAAGACAAACACTTCGTTCAAATACATTCCGGCTTTATGCAGTGGTATCGTTTAGGCAGCGGAATCGAAACTATCTGAATCTATTTCACCAATTCTACAGTATCGTTTCTTAGTAACGACTTGGCAGAAACCACTGTGATCGAAATCCACTAAAATATTAACTGAGCCTGCTCATCTCGACCGATCCCTGTTTCGTTACAATGTATTGTGGAAGCAATAATTAACCCCTCTAAGCCAATCTCTACTGTGACCGCTCTAACGCGGTCTGCTTGAGCATCATTTTCAATTTGTGCCACATCGGGTTGCGTACACCGTCGACAAATTGCTAATTTAAATGCTAATTTTACGACCCGCTTAGCTTATTTTCATTTTTCTCTTCGCACGAAGGACGATACCAGATTGAGGTCTTCAATGCAAATAAAAAATATGCCGCTCAAAACTGCGTTCCTTGGAAGGCTTGTCTTCTTGAACAAAATGACTCCGATCTCGTACATCGATGTCGTGACACCTATGACTGAAAGACAAAATGGTAGGTATATAAAAATAGTGACGGAATATATAGTGCATGTTTGTGGCTAGTAGCAGTACACATTCCAAGGCACCTCATAGCAGTGTGGATGACAATTTTCTATATAGTACAATGGCAACAACAGGATGTTTGTTTTCTCAGAAATAATAGTGCAGTATTTAGGCTTTTCATGAAAAACGTTACCGCAGATTACAGCATTGAGCGTGTCTGTACATGGTAGTCTCATTTCTTTGAAGCTCTGGTATAGAACTGTTTTTCAACAATGTTTGATAACTGATTATAATAGCTTTAGATACGTACTTATTTTCCTACAGGGACATACACAAGTCGTGACCAAAGATAAAACATGATACACAGGACCGCATTTTAAGGGGAGGTCTTCTATGTAACATTTTTTCCTGGAGGGCTTCCTTGAAAATATATTAAAGTTTAAAAATGAAAAAAAAATATTAAAGAATCTTCAATTGGGATGAACTAAAATTTGGTATGTGGATTTACCTAAGAATTATCCTCATTCAAAAGTCTTTACTTAAAGTTAACGTGTCCCAGTGTCGGAGATACAGGGGATTAGTGGTATCACTTTTCCAAACAAAAATAGTACGACATTGTTTTTTTTTTTTCGAGACCATCAATTTGCTACAAGCACTTGCTCTTGTGTTTTTCCCAGAGTGCACTGTTTTCGTAAAAATAAAAATAAAACAAATTAGATCATTCATGAACAGCTCAGATACAATTAGCTTCAAAATAAAATAGGAGGAATTGATACCAACTTGACGTTGCTTGGGAGATAGTTTGTCAAAGCTATGTGTTATACGGTTGTTATCGTAACTATTACCATTTTTTTTAAAAGTCAAGTCAAAAACTTCTTTTTTCCATTTTGGAGTGTTATGAAAAGTAATTTAGCAATGATGAGTACGCGGATATTATTTTTGAGTACGGGTTCTGTAATGGAAATGCTTTAGCGGGTTCTCGGGTGATTCAACGTAGATTTCTTTCCAGACGCCAACCTACCCCAAAGGTTTCTACGCGTTCATTTCTAAGACTTCGGCAATATGAAAATGCCAAACTTTCTGGAGTTAGAGGCCGTGGTGTCCAAGATACTGCTCAAGAGAAACTGAAGGTGATTAATTTGGCGTTGGACGATTCCAGTACTAGTACTGGGCGGATTGCAGGACAGTCACCATGTTCACAAAGTCTTGCGTGGAGAATTTTAAGTCGGGAAGTTTACATCATTACCATCGGCAAAAAGTGCAATGCCTGCAACCCGGCCATGAAGTGTACCGGCGAAATGTTTGTAAGTGGTTACTGCAAATGCATAATCAACATGAAGATTCTATTGATTTGGCTTTGTGGCCAAATGAATCGCTTTTTAAGAGGAGTGGTACCTCTAATTCTCATTAAGAACATAATTGTTTGTTCGTCAGAAAATCCCCGTTCTGTAAGAATCCACTCGTTTCAACAGATTTTCTAGAAACGTCTGGTGTGGCATTTTCAATGGTAAAATGTTTGTGCACGTATTGCTACAACGTGCAAGCTCATACTTAGCTTTTCTAGAGAACTACATAGAAAATGTGTTAGATGATGTTTCGTTAGCAACGAGAGTATGAATTGTATCAGCACCACGGTGCCCCACCGCATGTTCGTCGTGACATAATCGCATAGTTGAATAATCATTTTAGACAACGATGGATCAGCAGAAACGGAACCGTATATTGGCTGGCGAGGTCTCCTGACTTGAACCCGCTGGATTTGGTGGGGCGCCGTTAAACAACACTAGTATATGCTGAAAAAATTAATACTGTTGATCAGTTACAAGAAATAATAGATAACGCGTTTCATCAAATTCAAGCAACATCAAATTTTGCGGAAATACGTTTTTCTTTATTAAAAAGATGCCGCACTTGCATCCATCAGAATGGTGGTCCGTTTGAATATTTGTTGAAATCAATAAAGATTATCTAACTTGATTTTTTTATTTTTACGGAAACAATGCACTCTAGGAAAAAACAATAGTAACTATTTATAGCAAATTTGAAGGTAAGATTTGAATAGTTGCACGAAAAAAAACAGTAGCGTACCATTTTTATTTGGAAAAATAATGCCACTAATCCTGTATCTCCGCCGCTGGTGCACGTTAATTTTAACTAAAGACCTTTGAACGTCGACAATACTTAGGTAAGTCCACATACTAAATTTTAGTTCATTCCAGTTGAGGGTTTGGAAGATATTAAAAAATATTGTTTTTTATTTTTAAACTTCAACACGCCGTTCTTTTTAATGATGTCCTCGATGCAAAAATGTTGCATAGAATACTACCCTTAAAATGCGATCCAGTGTATGATGTTTCATTTTTGGTCACGACTTGCATACCGATTACACTATATAATATTACCTCACGAAATCAAGTAACCTCACAGTTATAACTGCGACTGATACGTACGGGATCCATCGGCCGAAACTATCTTTAATGCACAAATGCGGTGGTAAATCTTTGATGTGTGGAATGTCTAATAGGTGCGTACAATAACCGGGGTTGGAAGTGTACCCCTATACCCATAAAACCCTCCTCAAGCTATTGAATTCTTTTTCAATATTGATCAGGTTTCCCTGAAACTTCAAAAACGAAGTTGGAGCGAAATCTATTTTTTTTTGTTTTTGGCGTAGTAGTAACCATGTGAAAAAATGTCAAACAAATCTCAGCAGTACTTTCCAAGTTATTCACGAGACAACGAATTTGCGGTTAGGTCGAAAAAATGACAGACAGGCAGACGAAAACTAGTGACATGTTTTTTGTGATGTATGTGTCATATAACATAAAAAATAATATCTCGTATTACAATACTTGCTCGCCTCGAAAGTAACAAATAACTTACCAACACACCAATTTTTCTAAAAACGTGCTCAAACACGAAAGTTGCAACGCCTGCGGAGGAAAAACTGACCTGGCATGAATCGTTTGTTAACAGATACTCGTAATATGAAAAAACTTAAAACTCGTAGAGTCTCACCAAAACATCGGCATCGGCTTCAGCCTGGTCCACGTTCGGCTACATTCCGCCCTTGGACGAAGGCCAAATGTTTCGGAAAATCTTAACTCACGAGAAGTTTTGGAAAAATGTCGCGTGCTGAGAAAATGAAAATGAAAACACACACAAGCTTGGTCAGCGAAGGACAATTTGCAGACTGATCAGTAAATGTTAAGGAGTGTGAGCTATTTTATGTTGAAGCCGATTAGGTGATCTGAAATATCTTTGAGCTGTCAGCTGGTGCCAGAGTACATAATTTTGTCAGACATCCAATCCTGCAGGACAAAACGCATGTGAGTGCGTAGCAGACAAAATCCATAAGATATTCATCCAAATGTAACAGCTTTATTGAAGTTAGGTATTTGTAATCATCAAATTTAGAATTTTATAACAAAAGTCATAAGTCACAAGAAACAGAGGCAAGTGCACTACGTTCGTAATGTTACCACTGAGCAGCCGCGTAGGCAGAATCCTAAATACCACGGCACCACGATTGCTATGGTGGCATAGATCTATAAAACAGGGCAAATCTCTCTATCTGCTGCTTTTCTCATTTACGCTTTCGTATCTGTTTTCTTTGATTGAGAGCCTCGGGGAAATACGGAAGCCCCCTGAAGGCGTATGTTCACGGATCTTACTTATTCGTCGAAATATAAATATTTGGTACCGGTGTATAATTTTATATACGTATAAACAGAATTTTCTTAAACAGATCAGAGAGCTTCTATTTTCCACCAAAAGTGGTAAATACAGGGTGTAAACGTTGTGTTAGTCATTATCGAAATGGGTAATAGGGAGAGGTCAAAACAAGTCAAAAGGTTCATATGACCCATGGTCCAAAAGTCAATAGATTTTTGTCTAAATGGATTTATAGTTTACAACTTTAAGTGCTTCATATCGACCACAATCACCTCAATCTTACTAATTTTTATAATCCAATCTAAAACGTTTTTAAATTGGGTAATTACCAAATAAGTGGCATTATGTTTTTCTAAGTTAAGCCAAAATTTGTAGTCAGTAAGTAAGCAACGTTCATTAAATTAAATATTTAAAAGACACATGACTACAGCCCGTCGGTCATTCATCACTCTTACCGAACCGGCAATAAATCGCAAACGGTTACAGTGGTTAGTTATTGTTCGCGTACGTCATCGTGTTTATTTACAATGCTCTCGAATCAAGAGTTCGCCGATACGTTGTTAGTTTACGGTGAAGCTCGTCAGAACTCAAATCTTGCAGCTCAAATTTATCGCGTAGGACTATCGCATACCATAGTCCATAGAATCCTAAGGGAAAATTTGCTTTATCCCTACCATGAAAACGAGTGCAGGCCTTGTTACCAGATGACTATCCTCGCAGACCAACATTCTGTCAGTGGTTTTTGCACAAAAACGTTGAAAATCCGGATTTTTTGAAAAATATTGTAGCGACGGACGAATGTACTTTTACGCGAGGCGGGATATTAAATTTCCATATACTTACACGTGGGCCAAAGAAAATCCTCATACCATTCGTGAAGGTCATTTCCAACAACGTTTTGAAATAAACATTTGGGCGGGTATTCTCGACGGTCAGGTAACTACGCCCTTTCGAGTTACCCCCAAAGTTGTCAGGAGATGGATACCTTAGCTTTCTAGCCAATAACCTACCAGAACTTTTGGATCAGACCTTAGACAACATTCCATTACAACGGAGACAGAATTTATGGTTTCTTCATGACGGGGCACCACCACACATTTTTAGAGGTGTCATTCACTATTTGGATGAACATTATCCAAATCGCTGGATTGGTCGGAATGCTTCTGATTCTCGAAAATGGCCAGAAGCATCTCCTGACCACAATCCGATGGATTTCTGGTGTTGGGGAGAACTTGAAGGGATGGTTTATGGAGCTGGTCCAATAACAACTGAAGCACAACTTCGTGAAAAAAATTTAAATGCAGCTGAAATAATAAATGG